ATTGTGCTCAACAGTAAACATTTTGAACTATCACAGACAAGAAGCAATTGATAATTTTTTTATCATATTGATATTTTCACTGAAGCATTGATACTGTGGCTCAATCATCCTTTTTTTTTTTTTTTTCAAGGAGTTATTCTGTACTTATTGCAAGGCTGTCCTGTGGCACCTTATAACCATTACCATTTTATTCAGAGATGGATTTCAGGTGAGGGACATATGAAGTTACTTTAATTCCTATGTTCCTCAGTGGAGTTGCTTTCTTGTTTGGAGACACAGCATTCAATGACAAGCAAGAGTACCACAACACAAGGTGCACAAGATGCATTTGGTATAGTTGACCTAAAACCACTCAGCCTCCTTGATATAGGGATATTAACAAGAAGTGATTTAAGATGCATATTTGTGTAACTCTTTTGAATAGTAGTTTTCTTCTTCTGATTGAAAGGTAACTGGATGCTTAAGAGTGAGGTTTTGCCACAGTCTATCCATCGCCCCCAATATTGATGGCTTCCACAAGCTTAAAGATAGATGCTTGTGTTGGTTAGGACCTTGCTGCATATTGAAAGCGTAAACCCATCTTCAAGGTGCTAAATCAATGTCCAGCCATTGGAGAAATTTGCCTTGAAATGAATATGAAGTCACTCACAAGAGTGGAGACATGTGAGACCAACAGAGTAGACATAAACTATCGCTCAATAAATATTTGAAGACTGAACTTGTAAAATAGAGGTTGATTTTCAAAATATTTATATAGCTAGGAGGTATCCAGTTATATAGGGAAGGATACTTTTTATGTACATTATAATGGTAAAATGATGTTTTCTTACTATTCACCCAATGATTTATCTTCAGTACTATTTCTATAAACAACTTTTGTTTGTATTCAATGTATGTTTCAGTGGTTCTCAAACTTTTGGGAAATTCTGAAGTCCTATGAAAATTCAATGAATCTTATGAAACAATATTCCCAGAGAATGCTTATCCATGAGTTACTTGCCAAGTTATTATATATGTGTTTCTCATACACAAAATAAGTAACATATTCTAACCTGATGCCTAATTATTGTACCCTGGGAATCTATGCTTCCCATAGTTAATGATTCCAAGATTCTCAGTCCATTTCATAAATTTTATACAGTCTTGAAATGCCATACATTTTAAGGTATGCTAAATAACAGCCTTTAATTTAAAGAAATCTAGATACTTTGCTCTGCTCTGCCTAAAAATCATGGCTTAATATTAAGAAAGAAACAACACATATATCTAAAGCAACACAGGTACATAAAAGATTAAGTATTGACATTCAAAGCCTTTAACTGCTGAGGAATAAAAAGACCAAACTATGAGTTTCTATCAGAAATTATTTTCAAAGGCTAGTGTTTTAAAGAAGGTTACCACGTTTTTTCTGAAACTTACTGATTTGATTTTTAAAATGCTGTTTTTTTTGTAAAAAGCAAACATTATATGGTTATATAGAAAGATATGCTGCTATATACCTTTTTTTCAAGAACACAAGGTAAGCAAACACTTTGAAATATTTTCTCAAAGCACTTATTATTATGATAAATAATATTACTAGAAGTGAATTTTATTTAAACTGTACTAAGTACAACCTTATTTCTTAATATTCTTAATATTTTATAAAGTGATAGAGTCAAAGAAATTTGGTAAATCATGGCAAGTGAAAGTATTGAACATTCAATCATCAAGACTTTTCTAACAACTTCCATTGCTTTTTATAGAGAAAGTGAGATTCATGAAATCAGCATCTCCCATGTTGCTTTTAATTAGTTCTATGAATTATGGTTTCAATTCTATCAAGGTGAACAGGTGTACACAAAGGTCCCTTTAATGGCTTCTTACATTAATAATTAAATCCAAAAACATAAAAAAGAATCAACATTTTCCCTGCTTGTCCAAGAATGGGTCTTCCTTCAAGAGTAGCTTCCCTTATTGTGCTACTTATTGCAAAATGGTGCCGCATAGAGTTGGTAAATCAAAAAATTCACACTTGTATTAAGAAATAGTTTATTAACAAAACAGTAAATTCACTTGCTTAGCATTTCCAATAATGGATAAATTGGCCTTGCAACAGAAAAACAAAACAAAACAAAACAACCCCTTAGATACCCAGTCACAAAGCACTAGAAGGGTAGGGTCATGTGGCCTTTCTTTGATGTCTTAGGGTTGACCCCACATATTTCAGTATTTTTTTTAAAAAGGCAATACAATACATGGATTAAAAAAAGAAGCATACTCAATCATAAAAGTTACAGTCTAGAGATGTAATCAAATTTATGCCAGGTAAGTGTGAAATTAATTTCAAGCTATGCATGGAACCCTGATATGTTTGGTGTGAAGATACTTCCAATTTTATTCAAGTCTTTTTCTCTCCCTAACTCATGTTCCTCTCTTTTTCTTTCTCTGCATTCAGGAAAAAATTACTAGAATTTGTACAGACCAATTAAAAAATTTAATGGCAATATTAGATTATAGAATTGTATGAAATTTTAAATAGTGATATCAGTTGCAAATAACATGTTCCATAGATATACTGCTTAAAATGTTATTACTCAACTTATTTTGTATCCTACTTTAGAATCTTACCAGATGAAAGTAGTTCTAGATCAATAGGCCAAATGGAAAAGCAACCAAATTTTCAAAAACCTCAAGCTGTAAATTACTAGTTTTTTTTTTTTAATCCACTTTTATTTACTGGCTTTCCCTGAGTAAGATTAAATGAGAGGGGAAAGAAAAGACTTGTGAATTCTTTAACCTGGCAAGTTAAAAAAGGTAAAAACTTGAAACAGAAGTAATGAATATTGAATTCTTGTTCACACCTCTGCTTTCTGGGTCACAAAAAAGCCTTTAAGTCTCTTCATATACAACAATTTCTTGGCAACCATAGATAGTGGTGATTTGCTATAACTCATATATATTTCTAAGGTGCTGTATGTCTAAAATCCAGGCCACTTCTTGGCATTTTTTTCATCAACTAAAGTATCACAAAAGATGTTTTGCATTTTTGCCTTTGTGATTAAAGCAATTTTAAAGGTATTCTTCTTTTTTATGAATCTAATTTCATTTTTTAGGAGATGTTCAAGTAATGTGACCAATGTTACTAGAGCATTACTTTGCAATTTCATAATGCATTTCTTTTGAATTACCTTCTCATATTGTTAATTTATTGCTATGAACATCATTGAAACGATATGCAAAACAAGTGTATAATCTATACTTTCTACTACTAAATGTATGTTAAATGAAAGCTATCTTTAATGATATATATGTAAGACCATAAAAGTTAAAAGTCAATAATGAACAGAGAATGAATTTTTAAAATGTGTAGTAATACAGAATCAAAATTATTGAAATACTTTTTTTAGTTGAGAAAAGTGTTTACTTTCCAAAAATGTTTATCATGCACATCAGGTTCAGAGAATGTCTATATATATATACTTTATTGGAAACAAAATTTTCAATTGCAACAGCCAGAGTTAAGGTATGGATTAATCAATTTTGCTTCTGTAACCTGCCCACATAATTGTTCATTTTCATGCACCAGTATACCAGTGATATTCTATGTGGTAAGAAAAGGTTCCATTTCATTAGGGACTAAAATTTTCTCAGGGCTTCCTGGGAGCAAGATTTCAGTGAAGCAAATCACCCCATTTGTCATCAATACCTTGGCACAACTATCTTCCTTCCTGTTTTTCAATTTGTCAGTAAATATTCACTGTTATATGCACATTTGGGTCTCCATCATGTATGATGGATTCCTTTGGATTTGTTTGTGTAGTGTGTGTGTGTGTGTGTGTGTGTGTGTGTGACGGAATGGTGAATGCATGTGGACATATGAATATTGGGGAGAAAAGATTATAAGATACATATGTATATATTTTACCTTCTAATTCACACCTTTCATACAAATACTAAAACTTAATTGCAACAGAATGAAGGCTGTACATGTAAGAAAAAAAAGTAGCTGAGTCTTTTTTTTATATACATTCATACATATCTTCCTTAGAATAAACACTACACTGTATTTTAAAAAAAAAAAAAACTAATTGTGGCAATTTAAAATGGTGGCAAAAAAAAAAACAACTAAAATAATTGTTGCTCTGATGTCATAAAACTCCCTATACTTAGCAACACTTATAACATTGAATTTACCAAAAATGGCCAAAGAGCAGAGATATATTTTGCATTTTCTATACAACAGGCTATAAAACGTCACTTACCACAGTCCAGAAAGCACACAGAGATGGATTTATATAAACATATGTAATAACATAGTAAGCGTGCATGAAAATTTCCCAATGATTGCATCTATGCCCTCTTGTTTTTGTTTTGAAATTTTAGTGTGAAAATGTGCCTTATGTTTCACATTTTTGAAAATAAGGCCTCCATACTTTTTTTTTTCCTCTCAACAACCAGAAAGGGGCTTTTTGAATGTGTTCCTACACAAGTCTTCAAAAAAGCCAGCACTTCATTTCCAACAAGTTCCCACCACTGCTCCAGGTGCACCAGGCGGCAAACTCGGAGGTTTGCAGGTTGAGTCACTCGAAAAGACAGTCTTCTCTGGCAATTGGACTAACTGACTTCTCGGGAAAGCACTAGCACTTTGGCTAAATCCAGGATCATAGGTAGCTTCTTTTCGTGTTAGTTTTGTGTTGTTTTTGTGTTGTGCCTTGATGTTGTAATACTCCTTTGCTTTATGAATGCGTGCGGTCATCATTGTTTTTTAGAAATGTTCCAGCAACATAAAGACAGGCAGAGTAAATGAAACACTGTGGATGTTAGGGAATTATTGGCCCCTGTTTTTTTCTTTTTTTTTGAGAAACAAGAGCGTGAGATACTTGTTTGTTTTAAAAACAGTCTTTCCTTCCTGATTGCATTCCCTGTCTTCTTTTGTATGTGCTTCGTAAAAAGGAAAGTAAAAAGTTTATATGTCTCAGATAAAATGAAGACTATTCTATACAAGTGTCCTTCTAAGATCTCGGGATCAGACGTAATACTCTTTATCCTTGTTTTTCTTGTTTTTGTTGGCGCTTTTCGCACTGGGTTGTTTCTCCTTTACAACAGCCCCATTAGACTGTGCTGAGTTACTGATGTAATTTCGACTCTCATCCACGTGGTATGAACCTTCATCCCGGTTTCTGTACTTGTACATGGCATAGAGGAGTATGAGGATGCATAGGGCTGCAGCAGCTACTATCCCAACAACCATGCCCGTGGTGCTGCTGGACTCCCGAATCACTTCTGCTGAGCCTGGGTACGGCTCTCTCCCACCTGCTCGGGTGGGTTAGCTGTAGGAAACAGAACAAGAATAAACAGCAAGTGATTATTTACTTTACTGAATGCTGAAAGCCAGAGAGCTACATTAACATTAAAATCTGTGTAAGTGCCTAATGGATCAGTACCCCTGCTTCAGGGAAAGTATATTGTTGCTGAATAGGGCAATCCTATGGCTCATCATCACTAAAAACCAGAGACTGTGAATCAAAGCACCCCAAAAGAGATATGTTGCCATTTTCTTCCTCACAAATCAATTTTGTTAATAGGGTCTTATAAGCACAGCACCAAATAAGCTTCAATTAGCTTTCAGTTTCATTAGTGTGTATGTGAAAAAATATCAAGCCAACATGTCTATTCTGTAATATCAGAGAGGACCTTTTTAAATATCTGATTGATGTTGCTACAGGACACTTAGGGCTACTTTTAGAATGAATCAGGTCAATTGAATTTAGGATTACATTAGAAATAATATTGCTTTGTATAGTAATGATTATAGTATTGAACAAGATAATTAAGAATTTTGAATAATGGCTTTTTTTTTTTTTGACAGGCAGAGTGGACAGTGAGAGAGAGAGACAGAGAGAAAGGTCTTCCTTGTGCCGTTGGTTCACCCTCCAATGGCCCCTGCGGCCGGCGCACTGTGGCGGGCGCATCGCGCTGATCTGAAGCCAGGAGCCAGATGCTTCTCCTGGTCTCCCATGGGGTGCAGGGCCCAAGCACTTGGGCCATCCTCCACTGCACTCCCTGGCCACAGCAGAGAGCTGGCCTAGAAGAAGGGCAACCGGGACAGAATCCGGCACCCCAACTGGGACTAGAACCCAGTGTGCTGGTGCCGCAGCCAGCGGATTAGCCTAGTGAGCCACCGCACCAGCCTGAATAATGGCTTTTTAAGCATAATTCTAGTCACATCTTCACACAGTAAAAAAAGAACAGGTTTCCTTTTCTGTCGGAGATTTATTGTACATAATTATGTAGCATTTTATTTATTCATTGGCAGTGGTTGAGTGAGGTCCAAAG